GGGGGGGTGGGTGTGTCAGTGGGTGGGGGGGGGGGGGTCTGAGTGGCCTATTCTCCACAACCTGCTTGGGAGAACCTAGGACTCAAATTGAAGTGACCTTGATTCTTCAGCAGCTGTCTACTGGAAATTACCCTTTGACTAGCTATTTGGGCAGGTTCTGACTCTCCATTGTGCCTGGAGAAAACCTACAGTGATGCCACAGTCTGTCAGCAGAGGTTTCCTCCTTGCACACTGAGCCGGGAGAGCTGTATTCTCCACAACCTGCTTGGGAGAACCTAGGACTCAAATTGAAGTGACCTTGATTCTTCAGCAGCTGTCTACTGGAAATTACCCTTTGACTAGCTATTTGGGCAGGTTCTGACTCTCCATTGTGCCTGGAGAAAACCTACAGTGATGCCACAGTCTGTCAGCAGAGGTTTCCTCCTTGCACACTGAGCCGGGAGAGCTGTGGTAGGAGCACGATTGACATCTCCTAGACTAGTCCTGAACAGCAGTGCCCTTGGGCAAAACTACTTCCGCAGCGAGGGCTGCTGCTGCAGCACTGGGCCATGTCTGTAGATGGGTGGCAGTGGACTGAGGCTCAGTTCGGCCTTTTTCCAAGTACAGTTCATTGAATGGCATCCCCCTGCAGCTGTGGGTTAGCGCTAGGGCTCCAATCTAGTTTTGCCCAGGGTCATCATCCTCCAACATCCCTACAGTTAGGCAAGCTAGTCTTTATGTATGCACGCAGTTGTATTTGCTCACATAAAGGAGTGTACAAAAGTGCTGGTAATGGCCTTGTCTGAAAGATGTTTGTGGAAGAATGGGAGCTGACACCCCACGCTGCCTGCCCCTTGTTAGTACTGTAGAAGTCAAGACAGGGTCACTTGCAAGGCAGTTAGAGAAATGCTACCAGCTGTGGGGTAAGGACGAGTGTGCAGCGGGGAACAAGAATGGAGCAGGCTCAAGCCATCCAGCATGGAGTTCAGGAACGTTAACTCAGAATCCCACCTACTAGTGCGTGGAGGACTCAGTGGGGATGACTGGGTATTTAAATGCAACATCCAAGGGAAAGCCTCAGACATGGAACTGGTAAGTACAGGAAGGCACTGCCCCCTGCAAAGCTGCCTCCCATGGCCTAGCAGAAACCCTGCTCTCAGAAGGTGGTAAATAGAATGCACTTAGCACGGTGGTCAGTTCTAGGACCAGCAAGCTAGGGGGGCCCGGACAGCAATGCCCATCTGAATGCACCCACCATTAGAGGGACTGGCAGAAGCAGCCTGTAAAGCTGTCTGGGAAAGGGATTAACACTGAAGAGGCCCTGGGCATAAGGAAAAAATGCCTTACATGTAAGAATCACTGAAGGTTTCTATTGTTCAAAAGCTGAGTGCACAACACTGAATAGCAGTGGTTTCCAGCTCCTCCTAACGGAGTCGGGGGAACACCCAGTGTGGCCTGCCCAAGGTAATCTGAAATATCCTGCACCTCTAAAGCAAGGCCAAGAGTGCCTCTTCCCCTAGAGAGAGATTCCAAGGAGCAGCTTAGAAACAAGGATGAAGTTAGTTCTGTTCCCCAGGGCACACATGTCCTGGCCCCACTTCGTTTGCATACATTATCCAAAAGTTGTAATGCAAGTTATCCACAGCTGCCAGCAATAGAGTGCAGGGTAAAACACCTCAGGGGCCAGGCTCACTTGCAAAGGCTGCAGTATTGCTACCACGGGCGTAGCTCCTGCTGAGAAAGGGGATCACCACATGCGAGGATCTGGGTGAAGGGCCAGGGTGGACCCATCTTTGGCAGAGAGGGGCCAGAATTTCCTACTTCAGCAGCTTTGTACCATTGCTGTAGTGCCGCTTCAACAGCAGGATCTTGGGGATGAATTGTCAGTGATCCTGCTGTTTATCTAGTTCAACTAGTACTGCCTGCTAATGCCAACCAAGAACTGGCCAGTGATGCTGGGCTAACACCATGTGGGCACCAAGAGCTTGCCTCTCTCCATGGGAAAAAAAAATCTTTCTACTGAGACCTGGACACAACTCCACCTTTTCTACTCACTTGCTGTTAGCAACTGGCTGCTGAACTAGTGTTCTGTCTGTACAGTCCTAGCAGAGGAACTAGGTGGCCTAGTTTGACCAGCATGTGATAGGTAAGCAGGCTAAGCTCACACCAGGCTGCACAAAAATTCTAGTGTCCTAGACTTCTCCACATCCCAGTATGCATAGTACAAACTCTGTATTATTGCCCTGTACTTGAACATGAAAACAATTCCTTCTGCATTTCAATTAGAAAAAACTCAGTAAGTGGGAAGTTATGAAATTTATTATGCAAAAAACACCTCTTCCCAGCAACCCAACAGTTTACACCTTGGAGACTGTGCAGGAAGCTGTGAAGGGGTATGGAGGCTGGCTACTACTTGGAGACCCACTCAAGGTGCTGCAAGGCTGAGTATGAGTGCCGCTGAACCGATGGCCCCTCGGTTTCGCTTCCGGGGATCTGCAGAAAGAAACAAAGCGGCAGGTGCTTTAGCTAGTGCAGCAGCCCCACCCAGCTCCTCTGCACCAGCCCCTGCTCCAAGGAGGGTTCATGTGCCTTTCACAAGGGAGCACTCAGCTTGCTGCAGGAACCTTCAGTCTCAGCTGCCCAGGGGGTTCCATTTTGGAGGGGAAGCCAAAACGCTTTTATGGCGCATGGACAATTAAAACCAAGTGGGTAAGACAGCCGCAGGCAGACAGACCCCTCAGGGACAGAGCAGCACAGCGGGTCGGAGTGCTGAACGCAGGACACCCCACAGAGCTTCACTGTGTTACCGCCAGGGAGAGGCTTGTGACGTTTGTATCCATTTACACACGTGCACTGTAACCCAATCCCTTTTAGGCCTGGGGGCTCCAGCGCTAGATTACAAATCTGTAGCACTCCACACGGATGAGCCAGCAGTGGGGAGGGGGGGACTATGGCCTGCACACCGAATGACCGGACTAACCGTGCTTGGAGAAAGAGAGAGGCAAATGAGCTCTGTTGCTTTCTGAATGGTGCCCTATATATGGAGGTCGAGAGGGCTGCTGTTCCCATCAGGACAAGGGAGGGGGATCTGTTTTCCCTACTATCTAAGCAAGCAGACAAGCCCCATGTTAGTGAGGCTCTAACTACACAACGAAATAGTCCCGGTTTGGGCCGGAGATCAAGCTTGTCATGGAACAAGGGGAGGAGAAAGCTGCTCAGGACTAAAGGAACTTGCTTCTAAGTCTGAGGGACCGCCACATGTGTGGTGGGAGAAGGGGACAACACACACACACGCAATAGCACACTCGTCCCACTTTGGCCATGGTGCAGTTTGAAGTAGGACACTGCCCCATGGAGACAAACCTGCCTTTGCAAACTCAGAGCCATGAACAAGGGAGCGGAGACCGGAGTTCAGTCCCGGGGCAGAGCAACAGCTACCATGGCAGCAAGGGTAGCCGTAGTTAGCTCACCCTGGCCCCAGGCTATTGCTGCTTATGCACAGGGACAGACAAGAGCAGCCTGCAATGCCACGTCTTTGCTGTCACCCCATTGGCACAAGAAGCCTTCCGGCACACTGACCTTCCCCTCCCCCCAAAAGAGGCTAGGTGGTCAGCACTGGGTGCCCAGCTCTCCAACGGAGCCCTTTGTCTAGAGACTCACCTCCTGTGTAATAGCCATAGGCATAGAGGACTCTGCCAATGATCCAGGTGATGCCAAACCCAACAGCGACACGCTAGAGAAAAGCGGGAAAGGTTAAGGGTGTCAGCGCTGCGCAAACCTTGCCATGCTCCTTCGGCCACTCTCTGAGGGCTCTGCTTTATAAATATGGGGTGCCAGCATGGTAAGGAGTCAGGTAGAGGAGGGATCTGCATCTCCTGTTAGGCTGTGGAGTCCCCACTCAGCGAGCAGCACCCGAAATCAGTGTCCCAGAGGAGCACACGGTGCCATAAAACATAGCACATAGTGGCACGTTCACTCGGACAGGGAGACATGGATGTCACACTGTGCCCTAAAATGGATCCTGGTGTCAACAATGTATATGGCATGTGCCCTCTTGCCCATCCACCACCTAACATCCCCAGTGACCTGCCAGCCTTCTAGCCACTAGTATATCGTAACCCTAATTTACCAGACGTTGGTTAACCAAATTCTAACTGTTTTCTTCGTTGTGCTCCAGATCTTTCCCCGACTCAGCATCCTACGCACAGTGCAGAGAGCACTGTCGGGTACAGACGTGACAGCATTAACGGGACTATGGAGATTAGAAATGGCTAGTCCATACAATGGCAAGGTGTTCTCTGCTCCGGGCTGAGCCCCCAGATTAGTTGGCTTTGCTCAACCCTCTTTTCTGACGCTTGTTTTTTTGCTACTTTCTGGATTGGAGCCCTGTGGTAGAAGTTGCCTCTCGCTCCACACCTGGGTTGCACGTAATCTCAGCAAGTATGAACACACAAGACTGGCACTTCCCCATTTGCAGACTTCCACCTCACAGGCTACTTTCTAATCCAGTCCTTTCAAACCTAGCCAGGAACGTGACTCACCGGGTGGGAAATTCCGCCCACGGCTAGAAAGAACAGGAAGGAGGGGTAAACTTCCAATCTGAAAAGAGAAGACAGATTTGCACGGATGACGATACTCCAGGAGGGATGGGGATTTTTGGTAGTTTTAAGTGACCAACAGGCGATCTGTTCTCCCAGACCGTCAGGCATTCATCAAGCAGCCAAACAACTGAGACCATCAAAAGGCAGGGCACAGCGTACCCCACCGGAAACAAAGCGCTTCTGTGCCTTAGGATCCATCCACCTGGGCAAACTGCTGGAGCACAGGAACCTCCTCCGGGAAAGGCCAGTCTGACCGGCAGTGGTCCCCTATGGTGTGCGGCAGGACAAAGGCCTCTCTCGCCTACTAAGCACGCGGCTGCAGCAGAGTCTGACCTTTTTCACTGCCCAGCCCAGACACAACAGCAGCAAACCCTACACTCCAGGCATCCTGTGCTTAATCACGTCGCTCTTCAAGGCAGCCCGCTGGCCCACCCGAGGTACTCACGTGTTCTGGTGCGCACGCTGGATGCAGTTGAAGATATGGCCGTGTTCAGGGTCCGTGCTATACATGGTTGGATACTGTGAAAGAGAACAATGTGTTAGCACACACAGGCAGCCTCCAGCATCCCTCGCCGCTTCCCGCAGAGGCTGTTACTTCCCAGGGGACTCACCCAGGACAGTCTGAATCTCAATTCTGCTTCCTTGGCAAGACCACCCAACTGCCTTGGGGTCCCAGTTGTGCTACCTCAAGAATGAGTGGCAGGCTGCACTCGGAACTCCCGGGCGCCTTGGCTGAGCAGTGCGTGCAGTCTGGGCTAGGACCGGCCAAACTAACTGACCCCAGAAGTTTGCCAATTGCATGACACACATAACCTGCCCCATGGGGGGGAGGGGGGGGGAGAAGGCTGCCAGGGAAGAGGCTTCTGTCCTAATGCCCCATGTGGGGCTAAAGTCCTTGAACCACCATCCTCAGGGTGCTGGAGCAATTTGGTATCCCTACTATGCAGTGAACCAGCCTGTAAATCCGGTATATAATAGAATCCACTTCAAGACAGGGTGCATGGCAGCACCCCCTAGTCCCACCACCCCACAGCAGGCCAGATGCCCCAAGACCCTCCCATCCTCCCCCTCGTCTGGTAGGTGGAGAATGACAGTCTCTAGGGGGCTCTGCAAGCTGCACTTTAACTGTAAAAGAGCCACAGTTTGGCCATGGGCGAGCTAGAGCGTGAAGTGAATCCTGGCCGCACATCTCAGTGACTGCAAACGCTCCTCAAGGCGACACAAAATGGAGGCTTTGTCCACTGAGCAGCTGCTACTCTGCTAAGACCACTCCCCACTCTGCTCACTAGTGCTTCTAGAAGGGGGCCCACGCCTGCAGCTCTACGTGCCCTCCAGAGGAAAAGCAGCGGCAGCAGCCAGCAGTTGGATGGGCCTTCTCTATGCAATCCCACACGCACTGTGGAGCCAGTCCAAAGGATGGAACGGAAGCTAGAAGCACCCCACGCTCCTGCCCCCACAAATGCGGGTCACTGGCTCATCTGGGGGGCTCCCTAAGGGCTGGGAGCGCATTGCCTCCCCCCAGCCCCGCAGATCCGAGCGCTCCCTTGGCTGCCGATGCTTTCCTGAAGCAAGCTGGGTTAGAACGGTAGAACTGCATCTGGGAGGGTCTACACGATGCTAAGCCCGCTCTTGCCATTCACTGCTCAGTGCTTCGACTCAGACTACTCCAAATGGGCACGAAGGGACAGTCCCTTGCCTCCACCCGGGGGATAGCCACGCCACAATGACTGATTTTCCACTGGTCCCCAACCCCAAAAAGGTTCCCTGCGCTTGCCATACTCCACAGCCTGCCTGTTATGTTGTGATCTAGGTCCCCTGAACATGCCACTCGTGTGGGGATAGAGCAGCAATGGTACACAAAACCCCAGGAGTGGGATGCTGCAGCAGCCTCGGGCACAATGGCGGGCTCTCTCTTGGGGAGACACCACCCAGCTCCTCCACCCCTTCTCAAGTGTCTACAAATCACGCCCTGGAGGAAGTGTGCAAAGTGCCAAAGCTGCTTCCAGGCACAGTAAGCTCTGCATGCCAAGGCCCTGACTCACAGCGTCAGCTGTTCGTCTTTCCCAGGGTGGATCTGGGGCTGAGTTTGCAAAGGGTCCTCTTGGCTACTGTTCCTCTTTCCTGTCTCCTTTGCATTTTACAAGCCCTCCCCCCGCCCTCCCTCTTTTTAAATGTTCCTCTTTAAGATCCTCTCCCTGTCCCCTGCCACAAGTCCAAACTGGGGAAAGACCTACCCTCCTAGCAGCGAAAAGCATAAGCAGATAGGAGCCTTGTGACAAGCAAATAACCAGATAGGGCAGGGACTAAGTGTCTCTGTTTTAGACACCCTTCAGGAGACCCCACTCACTCCCAAACAGCTGATCTGCACCATGCTAGCGCCTCAGAGCAGAGACCCGCCAGCTCCCCACCCACCCATGCTCATGGAGGCAGATTGCCAGGCTTAGGGTGGGGAACTGGTGTTTGTGCCACAACATTCTAAGTTTGAGAGTTCTGGAAACTGGTTTTGCAGCTAGGTTGGGGAGGGGAGGGAGAAAAGTTCTAGAAGGCAGGGCTGGTCTTACCATGAGGCCAACTGAAGCAGTCACCTCAGGTGCCAGACTGGGGGGGGGGAGGGGGAAGAAGGGAGGGGCGCCATAAGGCCCCAGAGTGTAGAAAATTGTGTTTGCTGCTGCTGCTGCTGCATATGTAGGTAGCAGAGCAGTCCCAGGAGAGGAGTAGAACAGGAAGAAGGCAGAATTGAGACCTTGCAAAGTTTTGGTCCACGCGAGGGGGCATCATTAGAAGGTGCAGTAGTAGGTGGGGAGGGCGGTGGCAGTCTGTGCCTGGGGAAGGGGGTGTCATTTGAAGGTGCTGTAGTAGGTGGGGAGGGCGGTGGCAGTCTGTGCCTGGGGAAAACATCTAAGCAAAGCCAGTCCTGTCCTATCTCCCCCAGCCTGAACTCTCAGCCCACTGCTGCCAGGTCCTGTACCTCGCCTCGCCTGGGGAAAACAGCCAGGGAGCTAAGCAGCAGGCAACTGGACATGGAGATCAAGAATGGGAAAGCCTTCTCATGCGCCTCTGTAGGCACTGGAAGGAGCCTGCTGTGACTGGGAGAGAGATGCAGAGACCAGGGCTGACTCAGCCGCTCTCTGCCGCGGATTTCACGTTTTGAGCGTAAGAATTCCCATGGGGAGGGTTCTTGCAAGCACCACTAGGAGGCTCACTCAAAGGATAAATGCACGGCTAGCACGGCGGGGAATCGCTGCACAGGTCTGAATTCCTTCACCTCGCTATTTTTGCCCGTTAGGGGCTGGCCTACACTAGAAAATTGTGTCGACCCAACGGCATTACCCGAGGGTTGAAAAAACCACACCCATGAGTGATATAATTAAGCCGATCTAAGTCCCAGCACTGTGGACACAGGATCAATGGAAGAATTCTGTTGAACTCGCTACCACTCCGTGGGGAGGCGGACTTGCGTGGATGGGAGAGCCCCTCCCCTTGGCAGAGGTAATGTGTACACTGCTGCAGTATTTCAAGCATGGACAACCCTTCAGAGTCAGTGACAACACAACTGCTGCTCTCTTGGCCGACACACCAGAGACCGAACCAAGAACTTCACAGCTTCAAGCAGGGACTCGAGAGCCTGAGCTAAAGAACCAGGCTCTCCAGCCAAGGACTGTAACAGACCCGTCAGAGGGGATACGTACGTAGCACACACGATGCGACACAAGGCTAAGAGCCAAACACTGGAGAAGTGCAGGATTCTCATGACACCCTCTATTTCAAAGTTCCTCATGTACCAGGATCTATCGGAGTCCAGATTCCCATTCACCAAACAGCTCACATAACGAAGGGGCTGACCCACAAAGCCTTGGGTTTCTCCTAATTGCCAGTGTTTCTGCCATACTTAGCACACACGATGCGACACAAGGCTAAGAGCCAAACACTGGAGAAGTGCAGGATTCTCATGACACCCTCTATTTCAAAGTTCCTCATGTACCAGGATCTATCGGAGTCCAGATTCCCATTCACCAAACAGCTCACATAACGAAGGGGCTGACCCACAAAGCCTTGGGTTTCTCCTAATTGCCAGTGTTTCTGCCATACTTA